CCTGTGTGAGAGCGAGCGATCTGCCGTGCTTTCCCCTCCTCCCCGGCTGGGAAAAGGGGGTGTCCCTGCCTTCCATGAGGGGAATTGTGTGTCCCTTCACCTCCCCTGACCCTCAGTCCTGCGGCAGGTACTGTGACTGCCCCCCCCCCCCCCCCCCAGCACCCTTTGGTTCCTGGGGCCTGCACGGGGGGCTCTGAGGGGAGGCTGCCTAGAGCCGGGCTGTGTCCGGCAGCGAGCCGCGGAGGCGTAGGGTCACCCGTGTATGACAGGGTTGTGGGCGGGTGGAGCTGTGGGACCGCCTCTGTGTGATGGGTCAGGATGGGGGGGGGGGAGAGATGTGGGGCTGCCTCCGTGTGACAGGGGTCAGGATGGGGGGGAGGGGCAGGTGTCGGGCCTCTTCTGCGTGACAGGGATGTGGGCAGTGCGAGCTGTGGGGCTGCCCATGTGTAACGGTGAGGTCGGGGGGGGTGGGGGGGAGCGGTGAGGCAGCTTCTCTGACAGTGGGGTCTGAGTGGGGGGAGCTGTAGAGGCCCCCCGGGGTGGAGTGGGGCTGCTGGCTGGGGTGGAGATGTGGAGGCTGCCTGCGTGTGACGGCGGGGTCAGGGTAGGGAGAGCTCAGAGGATCCCTATGTGTGTGGCAGGGGAAGCTCTGGGGGTTCTTTGTCTGTGACAGCGAGATCTGAGTGGAGGGTGCCCTGGGGTCTTGGGCAAGGGGAGCTGGGACTATATGTGACAGAGGGGCATGCATGGGGGAAGCTGGGGGATTTGGGGCAAGAGGAGGTGTGGGGGACCTCCATGTGTGGCACTGGGGTCAATGCCTTATGGGTTGTCAAAGTGAGGCCTTCCCTCATTACTATGCCTTAGTAGAAGAGGGCAGGGGGTATGGGAGGACATATTTCGGTCTGGAGGTGAAAACCCCACACCCAGCCTTCCTAAGTGAGTAGAAAGGAACCAAATCTCACTTGTATTTCAGTGCCTAACAGTGCAACTTCTGCTTCTGCAGGAGGACATGGTTCAGGGAGAGAGGCTGAGAATGTGAGGATGGGGGAGAGGATCTCTGCTTAGGGCTGCTACATTTGTCAATGTGGGAAGGGAAGTCTTGGGGCTCAAAATGGATCAAAACTCTGTCAAGAAAAGTACCAGGCAACATGTTCTTGTATAATTTTTCCAGTAATCCTGATGTTAACTATTTCACCATTGAATCATTGTACCAGTAAGAAGCAGGTAATGTGATTTGGGGTTTGTATTTTTTTTTTTTTATGGTAGTAATGTACAGTTGAAGTATTTCTCCCAAAAAGCAAATTATTTATGTTCCCATCTAGTGAAGAATTATGTGACAAGTTTTTAAGCAAGTTGCAGGAAGGAACAGTAGCATATTTTGGTGACAAGACTAGCAGAAAAGGTCACCAGAGTTATTTCTTTCACATAAGGTGTTACTGGGCATAAAGCTTGCTACCTTTCAGATGTGGTGAGCCCACAGGAGGTGGCTGTACAGTCTGAAAATACTCTGTTACCTACTGAAATGAGTGGGAATTTTCAATAAAAATACTGCAGGATTGTGCAAGGCCTTTCCTTCCTCTGTCTTCCTTTGCCTGGAGAAGGCAGGAGCTTTGTCTCTCACTTCTGAAGGATGTTATTTTTCAAAAATGAGCTTGGAATCTGTCCCTATCCTCTCATTTGTACCTCACTGGAGAAAATAGACACTGTTGAGGTGACAGTGCTGGCAGTAGAGTTCGTTAAAGAAATATTACCTATTTTTACTGATAAAAAGAATCTGCTTTTTTTTTTAATACACTAAACATGACTCTGGCTAAAGGTAAAGCCCATTTATATAGTTTGGTTTGGATTACTGCTTTTTTTTTTCTTTAGTCTTGTGCTGACTGAGAATCTTACTGTATAAAAGTTAACAGATTTTGTCATTTCTCTGTGTTTGTTGTTACAGATAATGACACCAGAACAGAGTCCAGTGAATTCCCTCATCGACAGGACCATCAAGATGAGGAAGGAGTCTGAAGCTCGGAAAGTGGTCTTGGCCTGGGGACTCCTTAATGTGTCTGTTGCAGGCATGATATATACTGAAATGTATGTTAATTGTTACATCTGATTCAAACAAGCAAAGCATCTACTTTGTATATCCCTAAGTATTTCCTGGGACTGAATTGTTGCAAAAAGGTAACTTCTTGGTTTTCTTTTCAGGACTGGAAAACTTATAAGCTCGTATTACAACATCACATACTGGCCACTCTGGTATATTGGTGAGTTGCTGCAGCATTTAAATTAATTTTCAGGGTTCTTTTCTTTTTTCACTTGTCAGCTTTATTGCTGGGGAGGTCACTTTTAAGCGAGCCTTGGGTTTTTTTCTTGGTGTGATTTTTTTGTTGTTTTTTTTAAATTTAAACCAAAACTTTGTTTTGCTTTCTGTTATCTCCCTTGAAACTGTTGGAATTTCATCCTTTTTAGTGACAGGTAAGGAGTATTAACAGCTTTCTTCGATATATCATGAAAGGGCATGAAGAACTTGTTTGATGCATTAAATCTGTTTAATGTGTGGAGAGCACTGCAGATTTTACTGCTGTGTTGTACTGTGAGTGTGGATAGCATTTCACAATAATTAAAGTTTGTTTCAGAGAAGTAGAGTCTAAGCTAGCTGTATTGAATACTATTAGAAGATGAAGTGAGGGGGAGAAAAATCATGAGATGAGTGACAGATGATTTGACAAAAGATGGTTTTTGAGAAATACTGCAAAACTTCATTGCAGTAGTTTATGTCCCTTTTGGAAAACGACCATCCATTTTTAAAAAATCGATTTTAGCAATATAAATTCATCTCAATAAAGAAAGGAAAATTATCTCCAGTGGTTCTTGCGTAAGAAGGTGAAGAAATCTTAGCTACTCGCCCAAGTTCGTACTTATTGATAGCACTAATAATGACCTATTTTTAATGGGCATATGCCTGTTTTTGCAGATAACACACTTTTATTATTCCCCATGCTCAAGCTTTGGTAATAATGTCTGTGTTTCTTCTAGAACTTGCACTTGCATCTCTGTTCAGCCTGAATGCCTTATTTGATTTCTGGAGGTACTTCAAATACACAGTGGCACCGATGAGCTTGGTCATGAGTCCTGGCCAGCAGACCCTGCTGGGGTTGCAGAATGCAGGTGGGTGTAATACACCTCTCTGGCAATCTTTTTTATTCTCTTTTTTTTTTCTTTCGAGATGGTATCTTTCTCAATGGCAGGATTCTTCAGTGAAGTGAGTTCTGAATTACCTCATCTGACATGAGCAGTAAACTGAATTACCTGCAGCATATTAAAATTCACAACATTGAGTAGTAATTTGATGAATGTTTGTGGGGAGAACTGGAGGGGGAGCAAACACACACGATGAAAAAGGACAGGATGATAGTGGCTGCTGAAGGACAGTGAGAGACTCGAACACTGTGAGGTTGGACAAGGAATTTGTAACCTATACAAGGGACGAGGAGCAAGGCAGAGAGTGCAGATTTATATTTACTTTTGATATCCTACTAATATCATGCTGGATAACGAGAACCAAATTAGAGGGACAGACAGACCTTCCTGCAAAGTCTGAAAATGACAGCCCAGAGAGCAGTCGTTCAGAAAGCTCTTGAACATCAAAGCAAAGTTTTAAAATGCAGCAGAACCTGACAAGGTAAGTAAATCAAAAGCAAAATGCTAGCACAGTGGTATTACAGACTGCTAGTCTGCTCCTAGAAAACAGGAAGCAGATAGGAGTAATGCTGTATCACCAAAGTTCAAGGATCTCATATGTTTATTTGCACAGATAAATTAAGACATTCAATGTGCTAAAGATGCATAAAGTTGGGAGGCAGAGTAGCTGATGAAAAGGTTACAGAAGCCCCCTGGGTTTTGCAAGGTGCCTGGTAACATTTAACAGAAATCTGAAGCTGTAGGATGTGTACTGACTTGTGGTCTTGTGTCTCAGTCTTTTTTTTTTTTTTTTTCCCATCGGTGGCTTGACTGCTGAGTTCTGTAGGGGCCAGATTTTTCTAGTGTCCCTTCTAGCATCTTTATAAATTGCCTTAAGATAGCGTTGTGTATGCGTTTGTTGTGCGTTTAAAGGGGGAGGAGAGTTTGGGGCTGCTGCTTCCACAATGCTAATTCTGTTTTTCCTTATGGCAGCGGTACAAACAACTCCACCACGTGAGCTGGCAACAAAGAAAGTCCCGTCTTCGACACCTTCTCCTCCGATCCAGGGTCAAAGCGTGTTGAGTTACAGCCCGTCCCGCTCCCCCAGTGCCAGCCCAAAGTTTACTACCAGTTGTATCACAGGGTACAGCCCTCAGTTACAGGCTCTGTCAAGCAACAGCACTTCTTACGGCAGTGCTGTAACCTACTCACCAAGCAGCAGCTACAACAAGGTAATGACCAAGACAGCTCCCAAGGGTACAGTTTGGTCCTTGTGTTGTGCTGTATGCCATTGAAGGTGAGCAGCAGCTAGCGGAGACTTGTGTATGTGTGTTTGTTCCTTTTGCAAAGTAGATGTAAATTTGTTGTATTGGGATTTGTGCTTTTTCCCTAGTGTCGCTTCATTTGTTTTAGAGTGGCTAATTTGTTTCAGAACAAAGCAAAAATAAGAACCTAAAATGTAAATAAAAAGCAGAAAAAAAATGACACAATTGTTTGGTTTTATTCACCCGAGGCTTCCAGCTTCAGCCCCTCTCCTGGTGGATCACCGTACCCTATGAGTATTGGACCAGTGGAAAGCGGCGGGCTAAGGTCTCGTTACCGCTCTTCACCCATTCACTATAATTCTCCCACTGGCAAAGAAGACTATATGACAGAGCTCAAGTCACTGGACACCTTCCTTCGAAACGAAGAAGAGAAACAGCACAGAGTTCAACTAGGTAAATAAACAAACTGATTTGATCGGAAAAGTTTGGCAATGAGAAGATGTTGGTTTTATTTGAGATTGGCTTTTGCAGATGAGAGAAGTTGCAAAGGATTCCAGTGTACTCATACTAGTGAATAGACCTAACTCATTTATGGTAATCACCTGTGACCTTGGTAAAGGCTGCTGCTGACCAGTTTGGTCTTCTACTGAGTAATTAGGACATGAGGTAGGATGCCATTGTTTCTACATGTCTCCATGGCTTAGGAGCTTTGGAAAGTTTTCCTTCAAAGTATTACTTTGAATAGGATATATGCTGCTATTGCAGCATATGGAAACGTGTGCTGATAGATTGTCTCTGTAGCATTTGTTGGCTGTAGTGGACCATGATAAGATGTGAGGCTTTATCACCTTGATGAGAGGGGTATCTTGTGGAGAAGGCATTTCAGATAAAGGGGGTGAATTACCTGCAGGCAGTTTTTGTCCTGGATAGGGACAATCAAGGGTGAAATCAGTGTTTATGCAGACTAACTTCAGTGTATGTATTCATGGCAGTTTGTGTTCGTGTCTCTTGTCAAAGCCTTAATACACTGACCTATTGTGCCTCTACTGTTGCTTCCGGAATTACTTGGCAATAATTGTACATGACTGTTTAATGTATGAATCGTTTCAGGAAGTTCAGATTCCAGTTCTCCTTCCAGCAGCCCAACTTTTTGGAACTACAGCCGTTCCATGGCAGACTACGCACAGATGCTGAGAAAGTTTCAGTATCAGCTGGCTTGCAGGTCCCAGGCTCCATCTGCACACAAGGACGAAGCTGATCTGAGTTCAAAACAGGCTGCAGAAGAGGTAAATTCAGCAGCAAGGTGATCAAGAGGGAGAAAGAGGCCCCTAGAATGTACAGCTTTATGTAAAGGTTTGGATTTGAGCTGTATCAAGAATGTGGGAGGGGGAGATCCTCTAGCATTTAACCATCTTCATACAGCTTGCAAGACTCCTTGTCACTGTAAATGGACATTGCAAATTCTGAGTTGTAGTTGGAAAATTATTTCTCCCTCAGAGAGCAAGGCTTATGCTGGATAAATACATTTGTGACATAAAAACTGAGTTGAAACTGATCTGTATTTAACCCAGTGGAACAGCTGAAGGATATAAAGCACTGCCTTTACGCTTGTGTCTGAAAGAAGTCTGATGCAAAGGAAGACAATTCATGTGGCTTCAATTAAATTTGATCAATTTTCTTTATTTCCTACATTAACCTAATGAAGGTTCCATTCAAATACCTCTTAAATCAAGCCTACAATTCAGACCAATTTTATCCTAATAGAGCGGAGAGCTTAAAACTGAATTTGGGCTCACTCAAGATGATTGTACTGTGAATAGAGAGTGGGAGTGCCATATGTGAAGCTGCTGTAGAAGTCACAGGATACAGCCAGCAGATGTATAAAAATTTTGCGAAAAATGCTATTTGAATTACGTGCTGTAGTTAGTATCAGAAATTTTCGTAGACCCTAAAAACTCTTGGTATTCTGTTAAGTTCTCATATGTACTAAATAAACCTTTCCGTAGGTCTGGGCACGGGTGACAATGAACCGGCAGCTCCTTGATCACATGGATTCCTGGACCGCTAAGTTCAGAAATGTAAGTCCCATCTCTAAAGACTCCCTGGTTTTTAAGAACAAGCGCAGTAGAGTGGAAAACTACCTCCGTGTCCCCTGTATGCCGAAGGAGGCAGGAAAAATTGCAGTGTCTGTTTGAGGATTGGGGTGGGCTGGAACAAGGAGATAAAAACACAGCGTGCTTGTAAGAGGGGACTGCTGAGATGTGTTTTCAACCTGACCTCGAGGTTTTGTATTCTGAAAACTTCACAGCTGTGAAGTTCATCCACCTTTGAATGACAATCAAAAGCATCTCGGATATAACAAGATTTGGTTTTCCTTGCTGTAACTCAGATTGCTAAATTGATGTTTCTGTAGTATTTCTAACGCATTCTCCTGGGCTCAAAGCATGGAAAATTCCAACCCAAAGGTTGACTTTTTCTTACAGTCATAATAAAAAGCAAAAAGAAAAACCTTGATCTTATCAATAGGAATTGCTATAGCAGAGGGGACTTAATTGCACACTGTGGCAAAATAATTAGTAAATCTAACTTTGAATTGCTCCTTTAGTCATAGCATCTATCAAGTATGTAGCTTTACAAAACAAGCTTGTTTTGGTTTGTTTTTAAATAGTAAGATCAGTGAAAAGCAAAGATTTGTGTGAGATCCATACCAGATTCCTGAGCATCTGTTCCTAAATCTACGGCCAGCTTGCTTCAGTTTCCAAATCCTGTCACATACAAATCCCACATATAGTGTTCATCAGCTCCTTGATTTCCTGAAACAAATGTGAGAGGACCCATCAAAGTATAAATTATCTTTATGGTTGGACGGCTGTGCTTCCTAATACTCCTTTCCTCATTGTTCAGAAAAGCTTTATCTGATACTTTCTAGAGATTTGTTTTCCTGACTTCTTTACATTGAATTTTCTGGCCTTTTAGAAGGTAGTAGAGAGTCATTTAAACTCTGCCTAACTTGATATTCTAGTTTAATTACTTTCCTCCTTGGTTGCCTTCAGTGTTTCTGTTGTTAAGCTTCTTTGTGATTGTAATGGTGATGATTAATAGGGTGTAAGCTAAGGGTTGGGGTTTTTTAACATTTTTGCTGCTTCTGACCTCTTGAATTTTCACATATTTCTTTCCTAGTGGATTAATGAGACTATTCTGGTGCCACTTGTCCAAGAGGTCGAGTCTGTGAGCACTCAGCTGAGAAGAATGGGGTGTCCAGAATTGCAGATCGGAGGTAGGATAAGGCAGTAGCCTTTGGAGTTCCTGGTGGTGGTTGATAGAGGGCTGGCCGCTCCATAGCTGGGGTGTTGAATAGGTGTTGTATAAATTAGGTTTGTTAAATGTTACTGTTCCATTTCTGCTCTATATTGGTGTGGTCTTTGTTCCGTGTCGTGCATTTCATTAGGCTGGAAAGGTTCTTCATAAGACTTCTGGAAATACTGATGAAGTCACGCTGATGCCTGTCTCATATAAAATTCATAAACCTCTCTCTTTTTTTTCTTTTTTTTTTTTCCCCCCCCTAAACTTCCTGCTGGGGAATTACAGGCTCAAATTATCATTGATTATTGCACATTAAGCTGTCAGAAAACATTTCACGGATAGATTTGCTATAAACTGTCAGGGTCTCCCTATAAACTCTCAGTGTCTCCAGTCCTATGTGCTTTTCCAAATTCTTCCTTAGAATCAGCTGCTTTCTGAAAGAACTATTTTTTTAAATTCTGATGAACTAACTGGAGTTCTGTTTTTCATGTCACGAAACAATTCTGAACAAACTGCTTCTCTTGTTGCTTCAAATTTATATTCCCTTAACCAAGAAGTGGATTTCATATGCTGCATTTAAATTAAATTCACCTTTTGCGGGCTGTTTCTGGTAGTGTTTCCTCAAGGGCTGCGTCCGTTGTGATGCCTGCAGAAAAACTGGTCAATGCTGCCCTCATCCTCACCTCATTACTCTCCCTCTGCTCTTCAGAGTGGATGTTGGTTCCTTGTAGCTTTTATATTCTGTGATGCAAAGCAGACATCTGCTACTTTGTTGGAATTGAAATGAGCGTTTGGGGTAGTGTCACATGTTCGGTGTTTCTAGGACTTTAAATCATGCACCAAAAAGGAGAGCTCTTTGTAGCGACGCCTGGTAAGGGAGGTTGTTGGGAGTTCTGTGGTGGTCATAGCTGATGTACTGGCTCTTCTTGTGTTGCAGAAGCCAGCATCAGCAGTCTGAAGCAGGCAGCGCTCGTTAAAGCTCCGCTCATTCCAACCCTGAATGCTATAGTGCAGTATTTGGATCTTACACCAAACCAGGAGTATTTGGTCGAAAGAATCAAAGGTACGTGGTGTCACCGTACTGACTTTAAACGACTTCCATTACCACGTCAAGTCATGGTGGCATCAGACGTTCCTTCAGTGGAGATGTTTGAAGAGTTACGGCAGGGATGAGAGCTGCTTTTAAGCAGGAGAGATATTTCTTCACAGCTTTCTCTTTTTATAGCGATGGAATGATGTGGGACTTGGATGTAACTTTGAGAATGTTTTAAAAAGCCTTGTTTCTCATTTTCCTTCTGCGTGCTTGGGGTGCAAAGTGCTGGATTTAATCCCTTCATTAACTACAAATAAAAATCATCCTGTAAATTTACGTCCCCATATTAGTATCTTTACAAGCATTTCATTAGCTGAATTTTTCCTATTTTGTACACCAGAAACATGTATGAACCTCCTGAAACTAGCATAAAATACCGCTTTCATACACTTTCAACCTGCAGTAACTGAATAAATCTTGTTGCTTTCAGAGCTTTCTCAGGGAGGATGCATGAGTTCATTCCGATGGAACAGAGGAGGGGATTTCAAAGGCCGCAAGTGGGACACCGACTTGCCCACTGACTCCTCTGTAAGTTTTGAAAGACGTCTTGATGCGACAGCTTAAAGTGGGTTGCTTTTTAGCATAGGTTTTCGAGGGGCTAGTCAGTAAGTCTTTTGAGGAACATGGTAAAATCCTGTTAGCATCACTTACACAGGTAATCCCGTTGTAGTTGGCGAGATTCCGTGGGGAATAATGCAAATGGGATTGGACATTGCGTAGATCACAGAAATGCAAGTTGCATATCTTTAGTCTTGGGCCAGGCTCTTACTTAAGACTCCTCTGAAATGTCTGTCAGATGACTACAGGGAGCAGCCTGGCAGGTGGGGATCTCGTTGGGGCAGTTCTCTTGCTATACTTTTTAAAAAGCAAAATGTCTGCCTTCACCTGAGAGTTTCTAATGCAAGGAAAACCTTTCGCCTTGTTCCCATTTTCCTTTGCTATAATGGACAGAGGAAAAAAAATGCAGATCGAGTGGCAGGACTGCTCTTTAATTTGGTAGTATTTTGTGAGAGATCTGAAGATGGTGCATATCTTCCTTGAGAGAAGACTTGTAGTGATGCTTAGCCCATTAATCTGAAAGGTCAGGAGGAAGAGCACCTCCCTGAGTGTAAACAGTGACTTGAAAATTCAGCTGAGGTAATTGAAATAATTGAAAGGAAGACCACAGAACAATTCAGGGAGTAGAAAACAGGCTTTACAGTGTGAGTCTTCAACTGAACTCTGTATCTGAAAGTAGAGTTAGGGTGATTTATTTTTTCCCCCTCACTGCAAATAGATTTTCAGTTACTTGGGAGAATAAAAACCAGGAGATCTGAATGTCAAAGCTTCACAGCTTTGCTGACAAAGATATAATGAGAGTCAATTGCTGGAAGCTGAAGTTGTACAAAATCAGTCTTGAAATAGGACTTGATTTTTCTGTTTGTGAAGATGATTAAATATTTGGTAGTGACTGGCCATGGAGCAACTCTTCGTGTCTCGATAGACAGCAGGGTGAGCAGCTCCAAAGCGTTTAAAGATTGTGAGACAGAGTAGCACACCCTGGAATTCAGTCCTCTGTCAAAACCAGCTGGGAGAGGTAGTGTTGGGTGGTATATTAAACTTCTAAGAATTCTAGGAAAGAAGTTCTGATGTAACAGGTTAAAATAAACACTTGCCATGAAGTTTTGACATGAACTTACTCAAGACAATTACTATCAAAAGAAAATAAATTACACAATTTCGCATTTTTGTTAATCGTGCTGCAGGTAATACAAATCTATGATTTCCAAGGTGCATCTCCCAGATTTCTAGAGACTTTTGGCATTTAGCCCAGAGAAATGCTTTTGTTTTGTCCTGTTTATATATAATGAACACAGAAAGTACCAGATTGCAGATAATTTGGTGAGGTTGCCCACATAAAATGTTGAGAACTCTGCGGGAAGGGTTAAAACACAACTAACAGGCTGTGGCATGGTTTTCTGGGTTCTAGGTCTTTATTTCAAAATTTTGGCATTCTTAATAAGACCCAGGACCAGCTCAGGTTTTCCCAGTGATTTTTGTTTTGCCTTTCGTGAGGAAAAAGGAGAAATTTGCTCGATAGGTGTGGTGTCGGCGAAGCCGTAATTTGATTTCATCTGCCCTTCTCAGCCAAATCCTTGCAGTTAGTGCAGAACCTATCACTAAAACAGATGGCTTGGAGTTCATGGCCTAAATACACTAAGTTTGCCAAATTCTGCAAGATGCTGGGATAAAGTTGCTTGTGCAGGAGCTGTGCTCCTGACGTGCAGCAGCAGTTTTATCACATTGTGACTGACGCTGTTTCACTTACTGGAAGAAATAAACTTGCCTTCACGCCAGTGGCATGCCTGAATGGTTGACATCTCTGCTTTAAGCATTGAGCTGCCTCGGGCTCCTAAACACAGAGGGGTTAAGTCAGCATTGCAACCACAGACTATCAAATACTGTAACTAACGCCTGAGATTCTGGCAAGAAAGCTGCTGTATTTTTAAGGACGCTAAAGTGAGATTTGTTTTCCTTTGCCCAGATCATTATGCACGTATTCTGCACTTACCTCGACTCCAGGCTGCCACCTCACCCCAAGTATCCCGACGGCAAAACCTTCACTTCCCAACACTTCATTCAGACACCAGATAAACCAGGTACTGGCACTCACATTTAGCTGCTCTTTGCCTCTTGGATGACGTAAGCGCCTTTGAAATCTTAAACTTTTCATTCGCAGACACTTCAAATGAAAACGTGTTTTGCATCTACCAAAGCAGCATCAATCCGCCCCACTACGAGCTGATCTACCAGCGCCATGTCTACAACCTACCCAAGGTAGGATGGTGTTAGTGTTCTTCTTCTGCTGTCAGGAAATTGTTGGCAGGTCTGATTTGGGGTTTTTTTTAGGTCCTAGCCACATTTATTGACTATTTACATGTAGGCCGGCCCAATGCAGGAAGTAAACATTAGCTTGGTCTTTGACCACAACACGGTACTTAGTCTGCTACTAAATAATAGCTTTAGTATCTATTTGAGATACAGAAGTACTGTGGTTGCAGCTTCCTCTTGTTCATTTTCTGACAATTTATTTTAAAATACTGAGTCATGTAATCCCTGATGTGTGTTATCGCACCTTAAGGCCAGCGAGCCCGGTGCTTGTCCGTAGGAATTCTGGGGGGAAGCCTCCAGTCTCAAAATAGGGAAATTCTCCTGTGAATTTTAATTTTATATTGATCCCTGTTTGTTGCTGGATCTCTGCTTTCTGAAAAGTTCCAGCATTTCAAGTATTTGGAGATGATAATCCAGCCAAAAACCACCTTTGGTCTTTTTCTGGTATTTACCCAATTGAAAAAAGTAAAGTATTAAGGCAAAAAGCCACAACCCACGCCATAATGCCACCCCGTGATGTCTTTCTCTGTGATTGCTTATTCTGCCTGAAATACTGCTATGATTTCTTGTCAGTGACTTGATTTCTAAATTCTTTTCTCTTCCTGTGGATTCAGGGCAGAAACAACATGTTCCATACCTTGCTTATGTTTCTGTATATCATAAAGACAAAAGAATCCGGCATGCTGGGGTAAGTAACCAACGTTACCTGCCATCACGCTGCGTACGAGATGTGAACGGAGCGTCCTGTTTTGAAGCGCCTTGTCTGAAGGCACTTCAAACTGAAATCGCTACAGTGGGATGATATTGGTGGTGTTAAAATCATCTTCTCGCTTGAAACAATCGCAGCTTTTTCATAAAATGGGGTCAATCTGACATGTGTGAGCAATAAAAGTGATGTCCAGATTCCCCTTCGTTCTGAAAGAGCCACGCTCGATTCACGGCAAAGCGCCTGCGTGTTTAAATGCCGAAGCGTGGAATTGTTAGGTTTTCGGTTAATGTTTTAAACAGGCACTTTAATTTACATGTGATTTATTGTGATAACTTTTGTTTGTGCAGGCGTGTCAATCTTGGTTTATCGGGAGTCAACGTTCTGTGGATTTTCGGAGAGTAACATCTCCAGCGGGATGCCGATTCAGAGGAACGATGCTCCTCTGGCAAGATGAACTGGGCGGCACCATTACATTGTTGACTTAAACACGGACTTACTATGAAACGGGATAATTTAAGCTCTGCTTTGTGGGAGGAGGGGAAGCATTTGTAACTCCTGTGCAGGTTTTGTGACAATATTATTTAAAACATTTCACGGTCAAAACGCTACTACGTATGAACACCAGGCGGGTTTTCTTTTTCCGGCTCCTCACCTGAACGAACCCTGTTCAAAAAGCCATTTGCTGTTTCTCTTCCATGGATCTGTCAGTGCCGTCACCGCTTAACTGATCTTGGGACTAAACTCCAACACCTTGGAGGGCTGGAAGAGCCCTCCCGAGGTTGTGCACAGCCGCCAGCGGCCTGTCACTTGGAAGGATACAGCAATTTGGCCAACTTTGGGTTGCAAGAAATTCCAGATAGGCACGAGAAGAACCAAGTGAAAAAGTTTAGACTCATTTTGGTTCATTTTATTATGTATGATAAGAAAAACATTTTTTTATCCCTGGCTGTTGGTGTAATTGGGTTTTCTGACCCCACAAAAAGGTGTGAAGGAAAGAGAAAACCATGTTTGACTTGCCGGTTTCAGTAAAAAAGATTTTTTTTTTTTTTTTTTTTTTGTACAAAGTAAGCATGCCACCCAACATTGGCAGTCTTGCGAGCTCTGAAATACTGGGTGCCTTTGGTACAACCACAGCGTTACCCTGCCTTTGCTTTTAAATTGATTTTTATGGCTCCCAACAGCTTTTTTTGCTAATAACCTCTTATTTTGGGAGCCTTACGGACTGCCACGTGGCTTTCAGCACCTCGGCGAGAGACCCAGCTGTATAAACCCGTGGACTTTTTAAGTCCCTGCTTTTGGGGATGTACCTTTTGGGGGGAAAAAAACACTTGGATTTCTTTCAAAGAAGAGGTCATTTGATATTTGCCAAAAACCTTTTTATATAAGGGAAGAATCTGTTGTAAATTCTGACAAATTAGGGTTTTAGAAGTGTATATAGTTAGTTTTAGTAGTTAGTTATTTTTTTAAAGAGGGGTAAAAATTCCTAAGCCCCAAGGTGCTGAAGACAAGGGTGAACAACATCGTCATAAACTTGTACATCTAAGACATGAGAATTACCCTGGCTTGTTGCCGGGGGCGAGAACACCACGTGTTTTGTTACAATAATGTATTTTTGTACTGTATTTTTTCCTGCCAGCCTCAGGCATGCACTGCCAGGAGGGAAAAAGAGGAATTTACTGTGCTCAGGGCAGGTGTGCTCACTTTTTTATCTCGGGGGGGGAGCTGCTATTTTTTGGTGCAAATTGACTGTTACTGTTGACTCCGTCTCCCCAGGGAGACGCAGGGTTTTTCCGAAGGGACTGATAACAAAATGGCTCATTTGGTCCCCTATTAAATGAGTTCGTTTTATTAAACGCTTGTTTCAAGTTTTTCCTGCGGTTCAGCACCGATGTACCGAGGAGGAACATTCAAAAACCCCAAATCTCGCACCCTGAAGGTAGTGCGGGGCTGTCCCTGTTGCCTTTCGCCCCTCAAGCTCAGTTACTCTCATGCGCGAAAGGCTCTTTACGTGCAGAAATTTTCTTCTTTGACCAAAAAAAATGGGTGTTTCTCGAGAAGACCCCGTCCCGCTCTTGCAGCCCTGGGACCCTGTGCGCTCTTGGCGATCCCCGTGCCCCCCTCTGGGGTCCTGCGCAACCTCTTCCCCACCCGGCCCAGGTCCTTTGTGCACCCCGATAAACCACGGTCCCTGGTCCCCAGCCGTCCCAGTTCCCTGTGAACCCCAGTTCCCAGTGTACCCCGATAAACCACGGTCCCTGGTCCCCAGCCGTCCCAGTTCCCTGTGAACCCCAATAAACCATCCGCTACGGTGCCCCCGGATAAACCGCGCACCCCAGTGCCGGCGCACCCCGGATTCTCCTGCATCCCGCTCCCGGCGCAGAGCCCCATGTCCCTTCGTACGCCACGAACCCCGGATTCCCCGTGTACCCCCAAATCTCTGTGCGCCCCGATCCCTGTTCACACGGACGCGTCGCTCCCCGCGCA